CTTATTGGCCAAGTGTGACTGGACACACAAGGAATTTGTCTTCAGTGGATAAGCTCTCAGTGTACATATAAGTGATGAACCGTGATCAGAGTCCTCATAAATACAGTACATTCATCATGAATCCTAAGAGACCACACTTGGTTATAGTCATAGGATACTAAATAAGCAATCAACATAAACCATACTAGGAAACGTAAATAAAACAATATAAATCATAAAGATACAAGCAACAAGGTTATAGTCATAAGTACAAAAGGATATAGGGAATGGGAAGGATGAGAAGAAAACAGTAATATGGTCTTAGTAAATAGTTTGACAATGTTGTGGGAATTTGTTTTTTAGGGATGGCACATGGGGACAACCTGTCCTTGTTGTCTTGTCTAGTTGTTCTGGTGTGCAATGCCCCATAACCTTGTTAATAAAATTGTGACAGTTCGCAAAGGTTATTATTAGGGGCAAAGAGGAAGACACACTACTGTTATTTCCACAGCCAGGAAGATAAAAAAGCAGGGATAGTTAAATCGATTGAATAGTTTTATTCAAAGAGGAAAATATATTTTCATTGGGATATCCCTTCTGGATTTTGTGCTTGTGATGAAAAAAAACTAATGAAACTTTGGTTTTGTTGAGCAGAAAGATTTGTCGTTGTCGAACAAATAGTAGTTATATAGTAAAGCAAAAAAGTTGAGTGTGTTTATCTTGTATTGTGCTAAGGAGAGTCAGAAGTCATGCTTCCTTTCCTTTCCTTTCCTTTCCTTTCCTTTCCTTTCCTTTCCTTTCCTTTCCTTTCCTTTCCTTTCCTTTCCTTTCCTTTCCTTTCCTTTCCTTTCCTTTCCTTTCCCTTGTGTCAACTCATAAAATATTTCTATGGTCTTTTAGAGTTGCCAACAGAAAGGGAGGGGGGAGCAGTGCGGCAGCTTTAGAAACCGAAACTGCATTTCATAAATGTTTTCAGAGATTGTAACTAGGTGACTGAAATTTCTGCAGGGCAAAATTCTAATTGGAGAGCATGACTGATGACTCTGGGCTATGGAGGTGTCCCATTGGAGGATATGAATTACGATACACCCAGCGGGTGGGGGAAAACCAGGGTCAAGGGTGACAATGAATTATGTGTCTCAGAGTCAGCTACACCCAGGCAGTGCCAGACAGTTTAATTCCCAATAAATCCTTTTTGACTTTTGGAAGTTTGGCTCGAGACTCATGATTTAAATGGGGGTAACTGCCGGAACCCGGATACCTTGTATCTCACGTCTCCTTTTCCTTTCCCTTTCCTTTCATAAATTCATATTTGTGACGGTTTCAGTGTCCTGGAATCAATTAGTGATTGATTCACTTAGTGACTGAAATCCTGATTCCAGCTGTGGCCATAAATCAAATCAAACCAAATAAAATAAATAATAAACTAAAAGATAACATAAAATAATAAAACAAAACAAACTAATCAAATAAAGTAGTAAAACTAAAAACTAAACTAAAACAAATAAAATAATAAATTCATAAAACAAAACAAACTAAAGTAAAATAAATAAGAAAAAACAAAAGTAAGAATAAAATAATAAAACAAACAAAATAAATAATAAAATAATAAAACAAACAAGATAAAAAATAAAAGAATAAAAGAAAAGAAAATAATAAACAATAAAATAAATAAAATAAATGAATAAAAACAAAAATAAATAATAAAATAAAAAATAAAAATAAGAAATAAAACAAAACAAAAAATAAAATAATAAAACAAAATAAAAAATAAAATAAAATAAATAAAATAAATTAACAAAACAAATAAAGTAAAATAAATCATAATAAAATAAAAAAATAAAACATAAAAAATAAAATAAAATAAACTAATAAACTAATAAATAAAACAAAACAAAATAAAAAATAAAATAAAATAAAAGTAATAAATATAAAATAAATAAAATAATAAAACAAATCAAATAAAAGAAAATAATAAAAAATAAAATAAATAAAATAAAGGAATAAAAATAAAAAAATAAAAGGATTGAATCTGGACCCAAGCAGGTCAGGAAAAAACGGCAAAGCTACCTCTGTCTGTGCTGAGGAATCCAGTGGCCTGCAGTTCCGGGGATGCCTCTGGCTCCAGACCAGCCACATCTGATGGAGCTTCTCTTGGCCATTCTCCAGCGTCTGGTCCACCCCATGTCTGACATGTTGAATCTAACAAAGGGCAAAAAGCAGAGAGATGGGAGAAGTTGCCCCAAAAGGTTATTTTTTTTACCAAAAATCTCCTGTCTTCCAGCATGCATAGCTATACCTGCACAGCGCAAAATCCTGACCCAATGGGCGTTGACACATCCTAGCCTTCATTGTTTAAAGTCGGCAGCTTTAAGATGCATGGACTTCAACTCCCAGGATTCCCCAGCCCAGCTCAGCTGGGGATTTCTGGGAGTTGGAAGTCCTCGCATGTCGTAAAATTGGGCGTGAATCACTTACCAACCGCTTTGCTTAGCGATGCAAATTGGGGTCATAGGTCGGACTATTTTACCTGCTTCTCTGACATCACTGCAAGTCCAGCCAATGGGAGTTAAGCAAGCATTTTGTCTGCTAAGAAGCACGTGCACCGAAAAGACGTAAACATTCAGGCAGAATAGAGTTGGAAGGGACCTTGGAGGTCTTCTAGTCCAACCCTGTTTAAGCAGGACACCCCATACCATTTGAGACAAAGGGCTGTCCGGTCTCTTCTTACAAACCTCCAGTGATGGATGGAGCACCCACAACTTCTGAAGGCAAGCTTTTCCACTGATTAATTTGTCTGATATTATAGAATAACAGAGTCAGAAGGGAGCTTGGCGAGTGTGATGCCCCTGGTGGAGACTGACTCCGAGGGAGAGGAGGAACAGCCGACAGGGAGTGGAAGTGTGGCTCCGGAGGTTGTGGAGGAGGCTGGGGAAGGGCAGAGGCCGGCTGAGCAGTCAGAGGAGGACTCAGGCCCATCCCCTCTCCATCCTAGGGCATGCAGGGAGGAGAGGATAACGGAGAGACGTGGTCTACTGGGCAGGAGAGGGCCTTGATCCTCTTCATGGGCTGCAGCTGTGACAACTGGATAAGAGGACGGACATGCGTATGGGCCAGTGCTGGAAACAAAGCATGGAAATATCTCTAGTTTATTGTTCCTCTCTGAGTTTGGCGTCCTTCCCAGTGTGTGTTCTGATATCTGTGGACGTCTTCAGGCCCTTATCTTGCCTGGTTTGGGTTGTGTTTTTTTTACTCTTTATCATTTAAACGGCATTTCCTCCTTCTTGTAACTGCTTGTGTGGGAGTTTTTTTTGTCTCCAGTCAAGGATATTTGGAGCTTGGAAGCAAAGTGAAGGGAAAAAAGGGGCTTCACCTGTGACTGTGTTTATTTTGTATCCCACCCTGGGTCACCACAGCGGGCACCTAGTCCAACCCCCTGGTTAAGCAGGAGACCCTATAGTATTTCAGACAAATGTCTATCAAGTCTCTTTTTAAAAACCTCCAGTGATGCAGCGATGCACAAATTCTGGAGGGAAGCTGTTCCACTGGTTAATTGATCTGAGATTATAGAATAACAGAATAACAGAGTCGGAAGGAGGATCATCTAGTCCAGCCCCCTACTCAAGCAGGAGATCTTAATACAATTCCAGACAAATGGCTGCCCAGTTTCTTCTTAAAAACCTCCAGTGATGAATCACCCACAACCTCTGGAGAAAAGCTGTTCGAAGAAGGCCCTTACCAGCACTAAGGTATGGTGGAGCTGGCCCAGGGCATCTTGGGTGCTCTCCTTGGCGTCTTTCAACTTAGCCAGGAAATGCGGGAAGACACGCTGGCGGAGTTTGCCGGACAAGGACCCCAGACGCACAAAATAGCTTTTTGGCTCCTTCTGCTGCTGCACCGTGCCGATTTCGAAGCCCTCCAAAGACGTAGCCAGTTCAGCTGGGAGAAGAAAAAAAAAACAGACAACATGTCAAAAGCTTGGAGGTTCAAAGCAGAAGTACAAGAAGTCAGATAACAGATAATCAGGGTTGGAAGGGACCTTGTAGGTCATCTAGTCCAACCCACTGCCCAAGCAGGAGACCCTACACCATTTCTGACAGATGGGAGTCCAATCTCTTCTTGAAAGCCCACAGGGATGAAGCTCCCACAACTTCTGAGGGCAACTTCTGTTCCATGGGTGGATTATTCTCACTATCAGGAAATTCCTCCTTATTTCCAGGTTGAATCTCTCCTGGATCAGTTTCCATCCATTATTCCTTGTCTGGCCTTCAGGTGCTTTAGAAAATAACTTGACCCCTTCCTCCTCTGTGGCAACCCCTCAAATATTGGAAGACTGCTATCCTGTCTCCCCTGGTCCTTCTCTTCACGAGACTAGCCATGCAACTGTTCATTGTATGTTTTAGTCTCCAGTCCCCTCATCATCCTGGTTGCTCTTCTGTGCACTTTTTCTAAAGCGTCAACATTTTTTTTTTTTAATAGTGTAGTGACCAAAACTGGATGCAGGACTCTAGGTGTGGTCTTACTAAGGCTTTATAGTGGTATTAATACCTCGCTTGATCTCGATTGTATCCCTCTGTTAATGCAACTTAGGATTGCATTGGCTTTTTTGGCTGCTGCTGCTCGACTGACTGGCAAAAATGTTTAAACGTAAATCAGATAAATGTTGGAAATGCCACCAGACACCTGGAACATATTACCACATGTGGTGGCCATGTACTGAAGCTAAGAGATACTGGACAAAAATATACGCACGGGGGTTGGAAAAGATGATAAAACAACATATAGATCTAAAACCTGAAATATTTTTTGTTAGGGGTGATACCTGAAAGTTAAAGCAAAGACAAGACATACTTAATTATTCATGTATTAACTGCAGCTAGAATACCGTGTTTCTCATATAATAAGGCCGGGTCTTATTTTTTTTTGAGCCCCGAAAAAATGGCTAGGCCGTCTTTTCGGGGGTGACTTAATTCCCCCCCCTTGCATCTTCGGGCGGGCGGTGACGGCTTGGATGTTGACCTCGGTGTTGGTGGGGCACTTCGTATCGGGGTCAACGCAGGCAGCACCATATCCGGGTGTGCAACAAAAGTACTTCTTAACGGCAAGCCCCCCCACCATTCCCCCCCCATTTCGCATGTTTTAATATAGGCCTTAATTTGGGGGGAGGGGCTTAATTTCACTTCATGCCTATAAAATATGCTGGGACTTCCTATTGGGGGAGGCCGTATTGTTGGAGAAACAGGGTAGTATTCGCTCAAAACTGGAAAAGGGAAGAGATTCTGATAGAAGAGAATGTGATTAGGGAAATATTAGAATGTGCAGAAATGAATAGGTTAACACTGGCAATTAAAGGAAAAGAATGAACTGAATATTGTATGCTCTGGGAATCATTTTATCAATGGTTGGAAAAGAAAAACGGAAATTAGAAATTAAACATATGAACATAGAAGATATGTGTGTGTATACATACATACATACATACATACATACATACATACAATTACAAACTATTCTAAAAATACAAGTTCCAGGTATACTTGAAAAGAAACAGACATTCTGCGATCTCCGGAACTTAAAATTACATTTAATGTACTTACTAAGCTTTTTTTTTTTTTTTTAAACAAGTTTTATTAATTTTTAAAACACACAAATTATCATTATTCATTACATGTTTAAACCTTTTTTCATTGTAAATTTAACAAGTCAGATAAATTATGATTCTGTTTTAAACCATTTCCATATAACATACCAAAACCTCTTATTCAATTTCTCTTTACTTCTCTTTACTCTTATTCAATATCATTATTATTATTTCATCTATTTCTTTCTGACTTAGTTACCATCATTCTCATTCTATATTTCTATAAGTTTTTACTAATTCTCCCCCCCAAAAAAACATATACACACAACACACAAAACATAAAAAAAATCTTTTTGGAAAGTAACTTGGACCCAGGTGTCTCTCTCTTCATGGACTTCAATTATATTCATGCTCATCTTACATATCATTACTTATTTTATTTACCATTCTAAGCCTTCTATATTAACTTCTCCACATATTTCACCCTTCTTAATTCTATCTTAATTAATCATCTTAGTTTGAATCATTATATTTGTATCTTTTGTCCATTTTTTTATCATCCCTTTGTCTCATTCCTTATAAAAAAGAAAAAAATAAGTTTCTCCTGAAATCATTAATCAGAGTATGATGCCTTTCTATCTCCCCCCTAAGTTAGTCAAATTAGTCTTTAAAATAATATCCAATACCCAATCCGATTTTGCTTGGTACATTCTATCTAACTAATACATCCAAAATAATTAAGTACATAATTATACAATAAATCCAAATATTAAAAAAAGATACTATAATAAAAATTTTATAATAACATCAATACCATAATCTTATTAAACTCTTTAATTAAAACAGTATTCTAAACCTCCCCTATTATTAAATTTTAAAGCCAATCATTTTTAAACATTTTAACGTTTTAATCTCTTAACAACTCTTTAACCATTACAATACTACCATCTCATCTTATGTACCTTGCAAAATCTTTTTTTTTAAAAAAAATTATACTTTATCCATTATCCATAAAAAATTTCTTTTTTCCATTTAATTTCAAAACATTGTAGCTTTTCTCCACCTTTTCCCTTTCTTTCTTCTCCCAACAAACCTTTCTACCCCCCCTTCTTCTAACCTCTGCCTTACCGGCTTCCCTTCTCTGTCGTATTTCTTTTCCCTTTTGTTTACTATCATCATATTGGTTTTGCACCTTATTTTTCCCTTTCTTAAATGTTTTTTTAGATCTTAAGTCCTTTAGTTTTCTTCTTTTCTCTCTTTCTTCTTTCTTGATCAAATTCTGAGATTCATTAAAAATGGCTCCTTCCTTTCTTTCTTGTTCCTCTGCTGTCTTCATCTGTTGTAATGTTTGTTGATAGTTAGTAAGCGCCATTTCTAAAAAAAGGAAAGCTTCTTCCACACCATCTTTACCATTTTTTTTTGCTTGCTCATATTCTTTTCTCAGTTCCTCAACAGAAAAAGCCATTATAAATCTTTTCTTTTCTTTTCCCCTTCTTTCTTCTTACAACAACCAGAATATTCAAAAGAAAATAAAAAAAATAAAGCAGTCCCAAAGTTATCCGTCAGTCCAAACCAAGGCAGAGTTCTCACTTTCTCCTTCTGGGGTAATATCAATCAAAGAGAAAGAAAGTCCAATTCTGTTTAAAATCTTATTACAATATATTCTAGTCTTCAAATCCTTAAGGCATCTGCTCCAACAAAGTCTTAGCATACAAATATTTTCTTTTTAATCCTCTCTCTTCCCACTCATCGCTTAAAACCAATTTTCACCTAAAAAAAATAGGTTTCTTAATATCCAGTTATTTATTCCGTAGGAAAAGAGGGAAAGCTATCCTTTCAGCACCATCAAACAGCCGCTTTTTCCCTCTTCTGGCAGGTATTATTCAGAAAGTCATACTTTTCAGGAATTTTATTAAATATGTCTTAGAGTCCTAGGAGCCAAGAAAAACTTTCTCCTTTCAAGCACTTTCTCCACTTCCTCCTGCGCATTCTTACCCGGCTGCCAGCTTCTTTGTGGCGGCCATTACGGACCGCCGCTGCACCGTCCTGGGAAAAGGGGGTTCTACCGGCCGGGGAGGGGGTCTGCAACACCCCCAAACCCCTCTCCGGATCCCCCCTACCTTCAGCTGCCCCTGCAGGGCAGCCTAGCTCCGTACCCGTCTGGGTCGGAGCCCCAGAAGCGGCTAGCGCGGCAGGGATCACGCAGCTTCGCAAATCCCTGCCGCTCGCGAAGCCGACAAACCGGAAGTTTTCGTACTTACTAAGCTTTTGTCGGCCTCTGCTGACATCGTCAGAGTATTAAGATACCATTAAAGAGATCTTTGCCTTTATATATCATTAATGATTATTTTATATATCATTAATGATATATAAAGGCAAAGATCTCTGTAATGGTAGCTTAATACTCTGACGATGTCAGCAGAGGCTGACGACACACTGTATAAAGAAAAGATGGAATGCTTGTAAAAATAAATTTTTTATATATATATAAAAAGAAGTCCTCGACTTACCACTGATCAATTAGGCAACAAAGATCGCAAAATGAGGCAAAACCTCACTTCTCTCGCTTAACAAACCAAAATTTTGGGCCTCAGTTGTGGACATAAGTTGAGGACAACCTGACAACATCTGGATTAAGGAAAGCTGCTTAATTAGAAATTAGTGTCACCTCATAAAATATTTCTGTGGTCTTTTAGAATTGCCAACAGAAAGGGAGGGGGGAGCAATGCAGCAGCTTGCAAACTGAAAGTGCATTCCGTAAATGTTTTCAAAGGTAGTAGCTAGGCGACTGAGGTTTCTGCTGTGCAAAATTCTAACTGGAGAGCATGATTGATGACTCTGGGCTATGGAGGTGTCCCATTGGAGGATATGAATTACGATATACCCAGGGGATTGGGGAAAACCAGGGTCAAGGGTGATAATGAATTATGTGTCTCAGAATCAGCTATACCCAGGCAGTGCCGGACATGTTAACTCCCAATAAATCCTTTCGAAGTTTTAGAAGTTTGGCTCGAGACTCATGATTTAAATGGGGGTAACTGCTGGAGTCCTGACAATTAGCACCCACCGAGCTCTCGATCCGTCATGGGGAGGTAATAATCCACCAATTCTTCCGACTTGCCCAGCATAGTATCCACACCAGCGGTGATCATCTCGCCCACTCTGGAGCCCATAACGCTGTTCACACCCCCTGCCACGACGGAGCAGGTCATCTCCATGCTGCCCTGGACAGCTCCCTTGGCCACGTCCACCATCCCGCTCACGCCACTGGACACGGCTTCCTTCGCCCCGTTGACGGAGCTGGAAACGGCATCTCGGGCTCCGGTGACTTTGTTGGACAACAACTCCTTGGTGTCTGCGACCACCTAAGAAGGGAGAGGGAACTGTGAGAGGGATTTCGGAAGTCCGAATGGACAATCACTTAAAGGTGGGAGGCCAGCCAGGTGTGGCAGCTGCCAAAAAAAGCCAACACAGTTCTAGGCTGCATAAACAGAGGGAAAGAATCAAGATCATGGGAGGTGTTGATACCGCTTTATAAGGCCCTGGTAAGGCCACACCTAGAGTACTGCATCCAGTTTTGGCCCCCACCACATAAAAACAGATGTTGAGATTCTAAGAAAGAGTGCAGAGAAGAGCAACGAAGAGGATTAGGGGACTGGAGGCTGAAACATAGGAAGAACGGTGGCTGGAATTGGGTATGGCTAGTTTGATGAGAAGAAGGACCAAGGGGAGACATGATAGCAGTCTTCCAATATCTCAGGGGCTGCCCCAAAGAAGAGGGAGTCAAGCTATTCTCCAAAGCACGTGAAGGCAGGACAAAAAGTGATGGATGGAAACTAATCAAGAAAAGAAACAACTTAGAACTAAGGAGAAATTTCCTGACAGTTAGAGCGATTAATTATTCCCCATAGGGAATAAAGAGGAGCGAAAGGGGGGGAAGTGGTGTCTGCAGGAGACAATTAATTCATTTGATTAGGGGGAAGATTTGTTCCTGACTCCTTGGCAAGTGTTTTCTGCTACAGCGTGGCGTTTGGAAACTACTGGTCTGGCAACTCTCCAAGCCTGATAAAGGTCTGCAGTGGTAAAAATCTCTGTTTGCCGGGACTGTGATGGAAAGTGAATGAGAGGAATTCACATTATAGCCTAAATAAAAGGGGTTTTGTCAGGACGAGGAGAGTCTGCTTCGTGATTTTTGGAAAGCCTAGGTCAGAACGACTGCTAAGCATCAGTGTTGACTTAATGGTCCCCAAAATCAATCCATCTTCTCTAAAAAAAATTTTTTCCATCTTCTTAGCCTACAGTTTTGGGTTTCTGCTGAAGTTCCTCACCCACTGTGAATTAGATCTCTAGATTTGCAAGCTCATACAGGGCGGGTTCAAAGTTTTCCTGTCACGGCTGCCAATGTGGAAACAGGCCTTTAAAATATCGCAATATTTCATTTCAGGCTAACTTCCAGGAAAGGTGGATTCTTGTTATAAGTCAATGCTTTCTTCGAATATTCATTGCAACAGCTTGCAATTCGGCGAAGCAACTGTTTAACCTCATGGCTTGCAAAATAATAATAATCTATCTATCTATCTATCTATCTATCTATCTATCTATCTATCTACCTACCTATCTATCTATCTAAAGGATGAGTGTGTGTATGCTCCAGCATAACTCTGGAATTCCTCGAGCAATTTCAACCAAACTTGGTACACAGATTACTTACTCTCTGGAAACAAATACTGTGGGGATAAGACACCCCTAATACCCCTTGGGGTGTGCATTCTTAAGATACAGCCTGTTTTTGCCTTCAAATGGCTTCTACCGTACTGCCTTAAAATGGCTTCTGCTGTACAGCGTTGCGGAGTTGCCATGGTAATGGCTTCACAGTACTCCAGAAGGTGGGGTGTCTCTCTGGTAACAGGGAAAATCCTGGTTGTTCCAGGTCACCGAAATCAGGGCTTTTCCAGCTGTTCTTCTGCCCCACTGATATCTGACTCCAAAGGCAGCTGATAACTGTCAGACGACCCTGGCCCCATCTCTGTCTCCGACGCAGAACCCTCGTCAGATCCTTCCCCAGACTCCAGGACTGGCCCCATGTCCCTCCCCAACCTCCTCACTGTCTTGATTCTGCCGCCAACTCTGCTGGCCGCTGGCGGGCCACAACAACATCATGAAATCTGAATGCCTGCGGCAAAGGGCCACTGACCTTGTCAGACGGCTGCTGTAAGATCGGTAGCTTCTCTTCCAGTTTATCCAATCCTCTGCATGCATATACACTGGCTGTTGCAACTGGGAAGAGAGACAGAAGCACAGCTCAGCTGGGTTCACACAATCCCCCTTTACTGATCTAAGAAGGGTTTCTAAATCTTGACCATTTTCAGATTGTGTAGACTTCAACTCCCAGAATTCCCCAGCCAGCATCTGGGGACTTCAACTCCCAGAATTCCCCAGCCAGCACCTGGGGACTTCAACTCCCAGAATTCCCCAGCCAGAATCTGGGGACTTCAACTCCCAGAATTCACCGCCAGCGTCTGAAGATTTCAATTCCCAGAATTCCTCAACCAGCATTTATGGATTTCAACTCCCAGAATTCCACAGCCAGGATCCTGTTGGGGGAATTCTGGGAGTTGAAGTTCACACAGCTTAAACTTGCCGAAGTTTTCTCAGGAATGGACCTTTCTTTGCAAATCTCCTAAACTATTTGGCAACACTTCAAAAAAAAAATACAAAGAGGCCAGCAATACAGCGGCTCCGCTGGGATCCCTAGAGGTTTTTTGTTTTTTTTTCATCGCCACCACAACTGCAAAAATTTGTTTCAAGGTGCTAGTCCACAGGATTGCTTGAACAATGCCCGGGCATCAGACTTGTATTAATAGTTCATCAAGGATGCATGGCCGGTTTTAAGATTAAGACATCCTTCATTCTAGGCAGAAGGGTTAGGAGATACCAGAGGTCATCCAGTTCTCAATCTTGACTAGTTTGAGACATGTGGACTTCCACTCCCAGAATTCCTCAGGCAGTATGTTGTGACTAGGGAATTCTAGGAGATGGAAGTCCACATCGGCTGGGGAATTCTGGGTATGGAAGTCCACGCATCTTAAAAGTTTCCGAAAGATCAGACTAGCCCAACCAAGCTCCAACAAAAGAGGTCTATCATCTCGTGAAGCAGCCCGACCATAGAATCCGAAGGGGGAGAAAAATATGGAAGGACCCTTAAAGGTCATCTAATCCATCCCGTTGGTCAACGTAGGGCTCCACAGCTTCACCCTCCTCCCTACAACAGGGCTGTCCGTTTCAGGGCCCAGCTTTGGAGCCCATCTACTCCAGCCAACTCCACCCAAAACATTGCTCCGGCCTTCTTTACTCACGCTGAGGCTCCAGCCTTGTTACCAGAGGTTGGGCACCAAACAGAGCAGCCGCGGTGAGGGTTTTCACCCCTTTCTCGGCCACATTGCAGACGGACTTCAAGTAGGGGCTCGTCTCCTTGGTGGAGGTGTAGGCCGAGACCACCAGGTGGCAGGTGGAGCTCACCAAGGGAAGGTTGGCCACCCGATCGATCACGTTCTGCAGGGAAATAATTCCTGATGAATTCGACGTAAATCGGCTGTTGATCCCAGCAGCCTTGACTTGGAGGGTTGGATGGAGGCTTGACCAGTTACCAACAGACCTCAAAACTTCCCAATTGGACCCCAAGTTATCGAATGGCCGGTTGGGTTGTCTAGGGCAGGGGTCTCCAACGGTGGCAACTTTTAAGACTTGTGGACTTCAACTCCCAGAGTTCCTCAGGCAGCTTTGCACAAGTCCTAAAGTGGCCAAGAACTCTGGGAGTTGAAGTCCACAAG